ATATAGCCAGGTCCAATATTTTATTTTATTTTTCAATATTTTATTTTTTAGCTATTTAATATAACATTTTAGGGGTTTCCTAGTCATGCAGTGATTAAGAATCAGCCTGCTAATGCAGGGGACACGGTTTCAACCCCTGGTCCGGGAAGATCCCATATGCTGCAGAGCAACTAAGCCCGTTCGCCACAACTACTGAGCCTGCACTCTGGAGCCCATGAGCCACAACTACTGAGCCCGCGTGCCACAACTACTGAAGCCCGCGTGCCTAGAGTCTGTGCTTCACAACAAGAGAAGCCACCCCAATGAGAAGCCCGCGCACGGCAACGACGAGTATCCCCTGCTCGCCGCAACTACAGAAAGCCCACACGCAGCAATGAAGACCTAACACAGGCAAAAATAAATAAATAAACATTTTAAAAATTTATAAAAAAATAATATAACATTTTAGGAAACTAGCTTGGAGAAAAAATATCAGAGAATATCACTTACAAATAACAATGTGAGAGGGAAATATAGGTATTTCAAGGATAAAACATAAACTAATGTGAGTTTGAAGAAGAAAAGAATCAAGGAAAACATAAAAACTGACCTATACGGAAATATGAAGAGCCAGCTGGAAATTTTTCACTTTTAAAGCGGCTGTCTAAAACTAAGTGGATGTTGAATTATAAAGGTTGATCAGCATATAAACTATTGACAAAGAATATTCTTTGGGATTCATGCCATGATGATCAAGGGGAGACAGTAGCATGCACTAAATCCCAAGCAGGTAGTTTACTTGACTCCACAGGCACCTGCTCAAGGACAGAGTCTCCTCACAGTGTTCAGCTCCATCTATTTTATAGGAAAAAAGCAGAGGCTTGCTCACTGAATAAATTGAATGAAAGATTTCCAAACCTTCCCCCTGCCCCCCGAGAGGTTCAACTTTCATGTTTTAACATTCAGTATCTTCTCTGAGCTTTTTTTTTTTTTTTGCAGTACGCGGGCCTCTCACTGTTGTGGCCTCTCCCGTTATGGAGCACAGGCTCCGGACGCGCAGGCCCAGCGGCCGTGGCTCACGGGCCCAGCCGCTCTGCGGCATGTGGGATCTTCCCGTACATGTCCCCTGCATCGGCAGGCAGACTCTCACCCACTGCGCCACCAGGGAAGCCCATTCTCTGAGCTTTTGAGTGTGAATGTTTCTTTTGTAAACCTACGCTTGGTAGTTTTGACTGACTTAGAGTCAGTGATTCTTACATCCTGGTGTACTCGGCCCATGACCTTTTCTTTTGTAAACTTATACAGAGCATTCTGTATTGTCAGTGTCTGTTTAAAGTCAGCCCTGACTTTAAGAATTTATACTTTTGGGACTTCCCTGGTGGCACAGTGGTTACGAATCTGCCTGCCAATGCAGGGGACACGGGTTCGATCCCTGGTCCTCCCACATGCTGCGGAGGAACTAAGTCCGTGCACCACAACTACTGAGCCCGCGTGCTGCAACTACTGAAGCCCACGCAGCTAGAGCCTGCGCTCTGCAACAAGAGAAGCCACCACAATGAGAAGCCCGCGCACCACAATGAAGAGTAGCCCCCACTCGCCACAACTAGAGAAAGCCCGTGTGCAGCAACGAAGACCCAACGCAGCCAAAAATAAATTAATTTTAAAAAAATTTACACTTCTAAGGAAAAGACAGAAAAATAAACAATTACAATACAGAATTTTGTAAGTTTATAAAAGAATTGCTGCTTTCCCTCCTTGAAATGTGGATAAATGGGGATGAGAAAAAGAACAATATAGGAAGGAAAAAAAGTTATACAAAGAAGATAGCAAAACACCAAATTTTAACAAAATTAACAAAAATTTAGTAAAACTAAAAAAATTTTTCAGATACATATCATACAAAATTGTATAAAAAGTTAGGAGGTAAGTCACTACAAGACAATTAAGCCTTCCCAGTGTTTTTCATTCTCAAAGTGTGGTCTTCAGATCTTCTGCATCCATCTCTGGAGATTATTTGTTAAAAATACAGGCTCCTGGGCCCCACCTGGACAAACTGAGTCAGAGTCACTGGAAGTGGAACCTGGAATCCTCATTTTAAAAATATGCTCCACAGACTGGTAACAACGATTGCCTATGAGGAGAATTGGATGGCTAACAATTAGAAATGGAAGTCTTACTATACATTCTTTATACTATATATCCTATGCACTTTTGTATTTCAAAATTCTTATGTGTTATGTCCCTGTCTTAGTTACTCAAAGCCCAAAACCAAAACCAAACCAAAAAACCCAGATGATTCTTAAACATGCTCAAGCTTGAGAAGCACCATTATAGTCCATTTACCGATAGGTAAAACCAAAATGGCTGTCAGGCAGCAAGGGTATATATGTCAGAAAGTCTTGTCAGTCTCAAAAAGGATTTGTATTTCCTAATTACCAACTTTTGAGAGCAAGTTACTTAACCTTTCTGAGCTTTAACTTTCTTATCTGCACAATCTAAAATCAAGAGTATTATGACAATTAAATAAAATATAGGGAATTCCCTGGCAGTCCAGTGGTTAGGACTCGGCACTCTCACTGCTGGGCCTAGCTTCAATCCCTGGTCGGGATCTAAGATCCTGAAAGCCACTTGGCACAGAAAACAAAAAAAGTATATATATATATATATATATATATATATATATATATACACACACATACATATATATGTATGTATATATATGCAAAATACTTTAAAAGATGCCTATCTATAGCAAGTGCTCAATAACTGATAACTATGTTTTACAAAATTACTTTGAGACTCAAGCCCATTAGCTCATACAAAGCACTGCTTCCCACCAGTTTCCTAGAAAAGGAACTTCCTAGGGAAGATGTGACTAACACCCCAGAATTGAAATCAGAAAAGACTTTCTCACTGTTAGTGACCTTTAATTTGTGAAGCCAGAAAACTCAAATCCAATTTCTGAAAGTCACCGTACAGTTGTTAAAAGCAAAAGAATTTGGTTGCCTGGGTTCAAATTCTGACTCTGCCTGGTGTGAGACTCTGGTCCTTACTTAACCTCGTTTCTTCATATAAAAGATGAAACTATCTACCCCACAAGGTAGTGGAGCAGCCTAAACTACACATGTGAAAGCAAAGTCCTTACCTTAACTTGCATACAATGTTTAACTCAAAGTGGATCATAGTCTTAAATGTAAGAACTAAAAGTATAAAACTCTTAGAAGAAAACACAGGAGCGAAACTTTGTGACTTTGGGTTAGATAATGATTTCTTAGATATGACACCATAGCACAAGTGGTAAGAGACTGATAAGCTGGACTTCATCAAAATTTAAAACTTCTGTGCTTCAAAGGACACCATCAAGAAAGTGAAAAAACAACCCACAAAATGGGAGAACATATTTGCAAATCATTTATCTGATAAGGGGCTTGTACCCAGAATACATAAAAAACTCTTACAACTCAATAATAAAAAGACAAATAGCCCAGTTTAAAAATGGGCAAAGGTTCTGAATATACATTTCTCCAAAGACATACAAATGACCAATAAACATATGAAAGAATATTCAACATCATTAGTCATTAGGGAAATGCAAATCAAAACCAGAAGATATCACCTCACACTCACTAGCATAACCAGTAAGAAAAAGACAGTAACAGTGCTGTCCAGGACGTGGAGAAATTAGACCCCTCGGGACTTCCCTGGTGGTGCAGTGGTTAAGAATCCGCTTGCCAATGCAGGGGACACGGTTTCGAGCTCTGGTCTGGGAAGATCCCACATGCTGAGAAGCAACTAAGCCTGTGTGCCACAACTACTGAGCCTGCGCTCTACAGCCTGCGAGCCACAACTACTGAGGCCTGCGCGCCTAGAGCCCGTGCTCCGCAACAAGAGAAGCCACCTCAGTGAGAAGCTCGCACACCGCAATGAGAAGCCCGCGCACCACAACGAAGAGTAGCCCCTGCTCACCACAACTAGAGAAAGCCCGCGTGCAGCAACAGACCCAACGCAGCCAAAAATAAATAAATGAATGAATGATGAAAAAAAAATTAAGGAATGCCTTTCTTTCTAAAAAAAAAGAAATTAGACCCCTCATTTATTGCTGGTGGGAATGTAAAATAGTGCAGCCACTCTGGAACACAGGCAGTTCTTCAAAATGTTAAACACAGAGTTTACCATATGACCCTGCAAATCCACTCCTAGGAATATATCCAAGATAACCAAAAATATATGCTTACACAAAAGCTTGTACAGAAAATGATAGTAGCATTATTTGTTATAGCCCCAAAGTGAAAACGACTCAAATGTCCATCACCTGATGAATTAATAAACAAAATGTGCTATATCCACACAAAATATTACTTAGCCATAAAAAGGAACGAAGTACTGGCACATGCTACAACCTGGATGAACTCTGAAAACATTAAGCAGATTCCATGTCTATGGAAATGTCCAGAAAAAGCCAAGCTATAGAGATAGAAAGTACATGAGTGGTTGCCAGGAGCTGAGGAGATTGGGGGGACATGGGCAGTGATTACTAATGGGTTTGGGTTCCTTTTGGGGGTGATAAAAATGTTCTAAAATTTATTGTGGCAATGGCTGCACAACTCGGTGAGTACGCTAAAAATCATTAAATTCTATGCTTTAAATGGGTAAACTTTATGGTATGCAAATCATATCTCAATGAAGCTGTTTAAAAAACAACATCAACAAAAAACTGCGTAGCCTAGCTCAATAGACAATGCCTGATTACTTCCAACTGTGTCCAGAACTAAATAACCCTGGGCGGGTCTGTTTCCCCACGCTTTGGAAGGACTCCTAAGGAGTCCCTCCCACTTTTGACCCTTCGGAATCCTGAAGGAACAAACGTTTGCCCCCGGGGTTCTGGGGTTCCTCTGGGCAGGGAATGGACCACAAGATCTACAACGCTTAGACCTTGGGCAAACAGTGCCAGGGCTCACACGGTCCTCATCGTTCCTCTACGGCCCCGCTCCCCGCCGCTATCGGCCTGGAGATGCGCTTACCCAAGGCACAAGCCATAGCGGCGCCCACCAGGCCTCCCCCGGACACCACCACATCGTACACGGTGTCTGACGAAGCGCCGGCCCACCTCCGGCAGGAGACCAGCGGGCCCCTCCGGGCAGCGGCAGGGGCAGTCCCCCACCGGATCCTAGCCAGCCGGGCCGCCATAGTCCTGACCTGCACCGTAATTGGCATCCCGCTGATCTCGCCTGGGGTTAGCACTTCCGGAGCAGAGCTCTCCAGGCACAGGTCGCTTGAGCCGCCACCTCAAAGCCGGAAGTATAACGTGCAAAGAGAATAGGCCAATCAGAAAACGAACTTTGCCTGCTTGGGCGGGATAGATTAGAGGCTGCCTGGGAAGGGGACTGGTTCGTGTATCCGCCTCGGAGCCAATCAGAGGCCCAAGCTAGAAAGGGGAGGAACCTGACCCGCTTAGCTTGCACCTCCACTGCCGCTGTCATCCCCGCTGTCTCCGCCGCTTCTGTCTCTTCCCCGCAGAGAAAATGACCGTGGGGAGGTCTGCGGGAGCCTCCGGCGGCGCTCAGTGGAGCCGTCAGGTGAGGGGAGAAAAAGAAGGGGAGTTATCGTGTCTGCGCCCCGGAAAGGAATCCCTAAGAGAGGAAACTGTTTGAAGTTGCCTTGGAGACAGACGGCAAGGGCGTGTCACAGGGGCGTGGGATTAAAACGGGCAGTGTTTACGGATGCGGAGGCGGACTCCGGGACCTGAACCCCTTGAGCCCTTACGTCAGGCTCCTTATAGAACCATAGAAATGGCCCCCAGTTTCCGCTTATCCTTTCAACCACCCCAGGACTAATAGCACGATTGTCGTCTCCATTTTGTAGAAGAGAAAAATGAGGCGCAGAGAGATTAAGAAATTTGCCCCCAAATTCATAGAGACAAAGTAAATTGGTGGTCGCTTAGGGGTTGGGGAATGAGGAGGGTTAGGGAAAATAGGGAGTGACTGCTAAATGGAATGGGGTCTTTTGGGGGGTTATTAAAATTGATTGTGGTGATGGTTGCCCAACTCTGACTATACTGAAACCCACTGAATTGTACACTTGTATGAATTGTATAGTAGGTGTGAATTATATAAAGTCGTTTTTTTTTGTTTGTTTGTTTTTTTGCGGTACGTGGGCCTCTCACTGTTGGGGCCTCTCCCGTTGAGGAGCACAGGCTCCGGACGCGCAGGCTCAGCGGCCATGGCTCACGGGCCCAGCCGCTCCGCCGCATGTGGGATCTTCCCGGACCAGGGCACGAACCCGTGTCCCCTGCATCGGCAGGCAGACTCTCAACCACTGCGCCACCAGGGAAGCCCAATAAAGTCGTTTTTTAAAAAAGGAATTCTCCTAAAATCACACGCTCTTTAGTAGCAGAGCGAGGGCTAGAGCACATACATACCTTTGACTCAGAATCCAGTGTTCTTTTCAGTATTAGAGCTGGACCCAGTTCAACCATCACCAAGTGTCACTTGGAGGCCTGCAGCGGCCCTTCCCAACTGGTTTCCAGCTGCAACCAACCAGTCACCCTGTGCAGTCCCATCATGGCCCCAGCCTGCTTCTTTCAGGATATCTCTTGCTACTATCCTCCAACCACACTGGCCCTCTTTCTACCTCTCCAAAAGTCCAAAATTTTGTCCCTGCCTCAAGACCTTTGTATTTGCTTTTCTTCGAACCCCAAACCCCCTTACCCCAGATCTTAGCAAGGCTGGAGTTTTTCTCACCAATCAGGTGTCAGTCTAAAAGTCCTCCGCAGTGAGAAAGTAAAAATCATCCCAGGACTGGGAAAGTAAAACTCAGACTGTAACAGACCCAGATGAGGCCAGCAGCAAGATCAGCAGAAATCAGTATTTCTCACAGGGCCACACTGTACCTGCAAAACGACTAATACCCCATACTTCTAAATGATTATGCTTACTTATCAATTACTTACTCAGCCCTACTTTGCTCTTGTCACCTTTTGAATAAAAATTGCTCATTCACCCACTTACTAAACTGTGCCCTCTTTCTGACGGCATCCATCCATCCTTGCTTCCCCTAACCCTCCTCAGAATCATTCAGGACAAGCCAACCCTAGAAAAAGCCCCCACCCCGTGCCAAGTTCCCTATACTTTCCAATGGTATGCTGTAGCAAATTAATAAACCTAGTTCTGATTACAGCTACATTCCTAGTGGTCTTTATCTGATGGGCTTTTATCAACAGAAAAGCGTCCCATAGCCACTCCATCACTCTATAATCTCACAGTTTCATTGCTTTTATTGGATTTATTACCATCTTACATTAGCTTTCTCCCTTCACTAGGATGTAAGCCTCATGAGAGTAGGGACCTTGTTTGTCTTGTTCGCAGCCTAATACTCAATACACATGAGGCACCCAATAAATATTTTCTGAATGAATGGAGTATTTAAGCCCAGTTGGATTTCCCACTTTCTAGGACTCTTTCAGCTCGACCACACTGTCTCTCCTGTTAATTACTCATTCCTAGTAACAGGGTAGGAATTAGCTAGAATATGAGGAAAGCAGCCGTATAGACAAGGGAAGCAGGAAAAGGAAGATTGGCAACAAGTAGGTAAAACCCAAGTAGGGCAGGTCCCAGAGTGTGGCCAAAGTTACAGGTAGGATTCCTGGAGAGCAGGGGTGCATGGTGAAGGTAGGTTCTCCATAAATGCTCACCGGACTGCATGAACCAACTTCAGCTCTCTGCTTCCCTTTCCCACCCTTCAACCAAGCACACCTCATTTACCAATATGTGAAATTTCTTTAAAGCAAGGAACACATTTTTCTTTGTCCCCCGCCTCAGTCCCTAATGTATACTTATTTAAAATGAAATTAGTAGTTTTTAAATCACAGTTTGACCCACAGTCTTACTCTATTTCATTTCAGATACTTCCCCCCAAATCCTCCTCAGACACAGAGGCAGAAGAGGAGCTGTGTGGGAATGGGCTGGTTTTGCCCAGGGCTGGCAAACTGAGTGAGTTCATCAGCCCAGAGGAGGAGACAGATTCTACTTCTGACTCAACTGCGAGTTTTTACGAGACCCTGCAGGCACTAAGGCAGAAAGACAGGTGGTGCCTGTTGGAATCCCTTTATCTGTCTGACCCAGACAGTGATGAAAGCCTCTCTGAAGATGATGAGGACCTGGAGAGTTTCTTCCAAGACAAAGGCAGGGGGAAGCCACAGGTGCAATCCCCCCCCTCTCCGAGGTAAGGCAGTGCAGTTCAACAGCTGCCTCACTGCACAATTCTGGCCAAGTCACATCATGACTCTGGGCCTCACCTTCCTCCTTAGTAAAACAGAGACCACTCCTGCAAGTGCCACCTACCCAGGCTTCAGCCCAGAATCAGCCAAACGTGTTCTGATTCCTACCCAGCAGTCCTGAATCACTTTGGGTAACCTTGAGTCACCTGAAGGTTTGGGATCAATTAAAGAGATGCCTTTCCCAAATATACTACCTCCCTGAGAATGGCAACAAGGTCCATTTCCCTTGGCCAAGCCCTGCTATATGCATATATACTTTATCTCATTTAATATTTACTTTCTCCTCCCAATCACCCTGTAAGTAGATACTATTTTTGCCATTCTACAGATGAAGAAATTGAGGTTCCAAGAGAACCTTGCTCAAGGTCACACAGCTGGTCATTGTTTGAAGCAAGATTGGAACCTGGGCCTGACTCTAAAGGTTTCCTGTGCACGAATGCACTCTTCTCTCTACCGAATGAAAATACTAAGAGTGCAAAGTGGCAATTCTCGGGTCCATTCTAAGGAGAGACTTTCTACTAGGGCTGCTAGGATGGCCTGTGGGAAGGAGAGAAGCCTGGTTGAGAAAGGCGCAGGCCTAGAGGCCTGTGGGGCTGCAATGTGAGGCTGAGAAACTAACTGTGACCTGCTGGAAGGGAGGGGGAAGGAGGAGGATCTTGGAGGAGCCGGGCCTCCTGGCCCCCCTGTCCTCCACACACAGAGCTGCTCTCTTCCCACAGGTGTGGCTCCATGAGGCGCTGCAGCTCCTTGAGCAACCTGCCCTCCGATCTTCCCAAGGCTCAGCCTCAGCCACCCTCCAGCTCCAGGCCTCCCTCCCAGCACAGAAGCATCAGCTCCTGGGCATCATCCATCACCGTCCCTCAGCCGTTCCGCATGACGCTGCGCGAGGCCTGGAAGAAGGCCCAGTGGCTGGCCTCCCCTGCCTCCTTTGAGCATGAGAGGCAGAAGGCCCAGAAGCAGGGCCAGGAGGAGGCCGAGTGCCACCGGCAGTTCCGGGCACAGCCTGTGCCTGCGCACGTCTACCTGCCCCTCTACCAGGAGATCATGGAGCGCAACGAGGCACGCAGGCGGGCAGGGATCCAGAAGAGGAAGGAACTGCTCCTCTCTTCCTTGAAGCCCTTCAGCTTCCTGGGGAAGGACGAGCAGCGAAAGAAAGCCATTCAACAGAGGGACCTGGTCGCCACAGCTAAGGCCAAAGTTCCCAAGCAGAAGGCCATCAGGAGGATCCCCACGGCCATTCTGGAGCCAGCCCTCGGGGACAAACTCCAGGGTAAAGACATCCTTGCCTCCTGCCTGCCTCCTGCCTGGGGGTACCAAGCAGTGCTGTGGGGGTTTAGTCGGGCTCAGGGGTCACCCTGGCTCGGAGATGGGCTGTTCGGGCGGACCCGCTAGAGGCCTTGCTCAGTGCAGGCCACGGGGTAGGGTTGGATCTGCCCATACGATGGGGGCGCCTAGTCGGGAGAGGAGTAGGACGCCCCGGGTTCATCCCGTTGACCTCACCTGGCTCAGTGAGTGGATACGAAGGCCTCTGCGGCAGCACGGGTGCCAGAGCAGAGAACCAATGAGACATCTGAGTACCAGCCTAGGCCCGCGCCACCACTAGCCAGCTGCCCCGAGGAAAGCCCCCCACACCCTGTGAGGTACTCATTTCAAGACGCATAGCTCAGTTAAAGGACTCTGGCTTTATTCGCTCATTCCGTAGCATGCGCCACGTCCCAGGCGTGAATAAGTAGACGTGGAGTTTGCGGACATGGGAGGGAGACCAATAATTACAAATGTGATAAGTCACTTGCAGGAGTTAAAGGGGGAAGCCTAGGGATCCAGTGTCACCTACAACAGAGGGACCTGACTCAGAGTGTGGTGAGCGGTGGGGACAGTTAGGGAAAGTCCCGAGGGAAAGTGAGCACTGACCCTGAAGGAGGAGCCATGGTGAATCCAATGAAGAGGGGAGAAGAGTGTACCAGGCAAAGGTAATAGCATGGAGGTAAGAAAGCTGAGCACACCCAAGGCATGGAAAGGTAGAGGGGAGACAGAAGAGGAGTGGGGGGTGGGCAGACAGGCACAGGCCAGACCTGGGGCCTTGTAGGTCATGGGAGGGAGTTTGGACTTCATCCCAAGGGCAGGGGGAGCCACTGAAGGGTTTTAAGTAGGGTGGCTCATGATCAGATACGAAGTTCAGAAAGCTCGCTCTGCTGTGGAGATAATTATAGGGGGACGGGCAAGTCCAGAGGGATGTTGATCTGTAGGAGCCTATTTCAGTGATTCAACTGAGAAATTATGAAACTAGTAGCAGGGAGGATGAAAAGAGGCTGGACCGGAGAGCGGTTAGAGAGGAGGAGGTGGCAGGACTGATGAGCGAGGAGGACGTGAGAACAGTGTGGGCAGTGGGCTTGGGCAGTTGGGTGGACGGTGGGGCCTCTGCCTGAGAAGGGAGACCTGGGAGAGGAGCAGGTGACTGGCCCATCCCTCCTGCTCCATCTCTGAAGAAGGAACTGTAGAAAGCGCTCAGTAAGGGTAAATGGTAGCTGCTTCTGCAGCCTGATTGGCACACAGCAGTGGTGTGCTAGTCAACATTCATTAAGGCACTCTCCAGGAAGAAAAAAGGAAGTTGATTTGCAGTGTTTGCCATTTTCATGGTATAAATACTCCTATCCTGGCCCATTTCAAGCTTTCCACACGATGCCAACTAGCTCGGAAAATTCCTGAAAAGTTAATGCTGAGTTCCAGCACACTAACTGCGAGTGTTTAAGAGGGAAAGCTCACCACACCTTTTGGGTTGAGGCTTGGTCCCTTCTCACCCCTTGCTCCCCTGACTTCTCCACAGAAGCTGAGCTCTTGAGGAAAATTCGCATCCAGATGAGAGCCCTGGACATGCTCCAGATGGCCTCCTCCCCCATTGCCTCCTCCAGTGGCCGGGCTGACTCACAGCCTCGAATAGCCACCCGGACCCGGGAGGAGAAGCTTGGGTTTCTGCACACTGACTTTGGATTCCAGCCTCGGGTGAATCCTGCCGTCCCTGACTATGAAGAACTTTACAAGGCCTTCCAGAAAAGAGCTGCCAAGAGAAGAGACACCCAGGAGGTGACTCGCAACAAGCCCTTCCTGCTGAGAACCGCCAGTCTGCGTCGTACTCCTCGGCCCTGTGATGCTGCCGCCTCTGAAGGGAGGAGGGTGAGAGCCCAGGCCACTGCAGGAGGGTCAGGGCTGAGGCCCTAAACACAGGAGGGGCCAGGTCTCAATGGAAGGCACTTCTCATGACACTTTTCTATCTTAATTTTTTTAAAACACCGGCTCAGCTGTAAGCAGATCCACGGTTCCTAAAAATTTAAGACCACAAGAATACTTCCCTTCCTTCCCTCTCTGTAGAGGGATTTTTCAGAAATAAGTGCAAGCAAGTCTGGAAGGCAGGGAGTTGGGGTCAATTGCCATGTCCCAATACCAATTCCAAAGAATTCTTCTCATTTAATTAAAAACTTTGGGATTGATATCCAAGTCTTGCCCTGTTTAACTAAACTCAAGATCTCATTACCCTTGCCTTAACCCCAAGAAAGAACTGAAGATTCTCTCTGACTAGTCCTTCGCTAAAATTGAATCCTAGTTAAGATAGAAACTAATTGCACGTGCTGTCCTACCAATATTAGCCTTCATTTCTTCTAGGAATCTCCACAGCCACCCGGCACACCCCTGCCAAGGAGTCGTTCTCTGAGTGGCCTTGCTTCCCTCTCTGCCAACACCCTCCCCGTGCACATCACAGACGCCACCAGGAAGAGGGAATCTGCAGTCAGGTGAGTGGTCAGGCTGCATGAGACCCACAGTGCTCAGATCTTGGCCCCAATGCTGGAAAGCACTCTGCTGCTGGGCCTTCTCTCCTGTTATCAGAGAGACCGAAAGGGGTGGAAAGGGAGTCTTGATCAGGACAGGAATTCATGTGACTCTCCACACTTAGTGCTGGGGAACACTTAACCATCACTCAGCCAATATTCTTGGGGGACTTACTTTGTGCCAGGCACAGCATTAAGGCTGGAGATACCTTATAGAACCTATAGTTTAATATCTAGTCTGAAATACAGAAAGGCAAAGAAGCAACTATCACATCTTGTGAGTAGCACAACGATGGGGAAATGCAGGGGACTGTGGCGGGGAGGGGTGGGGGCGGGCACTGGGGAGCCTGGGTCTTTTGTAATAGATGCCTGAGGTGAAACCTGAAGAATGAGAAGTCAGCCAGACAAAGGCTGGAAAGAAACAAGTTTCCAAACAGAATAACAAGCGTAAAGACCCACTGGTGAAAGAGGAAGGAAGCATTAGGAACAGGAATTCAGAGAAGCCTGAACCTGTGTGTGTGACCCTGCCACAAAGAAGATGAGGCATCCATCGCATAGATTTGAGATTCTCTGAGATTCATCTTGGGGAACTATTAGAAGTCGGTTGGGAAGCAGGAGCCTTCTTATTTTTAACTCTTCAACTGACCTGACTCTGTCATGGTAGTCTCATCCAGCCAGCACCCCAGCAGGAGTTCCTCCACTAGGCCTCTGAGCTGAAGTCAGCAGGAGAGGTCATGCTGTAACTGGTGGCTTAGCTCTGGGAGAGGACTGGCATCTCAGTGCCTTCCTGTGGGGCTCACAGAGGAGTACATGGAATCTACTTGGCTCTTTAAGACCCACAACAGGGATTTTGGAAATGTATTTAGAATCCAAGGTATACTCCCTCCTTCCTCAAATTTCACAGCGTTACTGAATCGAGGCTAAATGCATCAGAATCCTGAGGTCCCACTACGATAGGTCTCATGAACCAGACAGTGGCCCACCTGCAGAGAATGTCCATATCTGCGTTCTGGCAATAGGGAGTTTGACATATTAGCAGATTAAACTGTCATGCCCTCCTTCCTAATAAGTCCATTTGAATATAAACACCCTACTGCAAGAGTCTTGACTGTTTTTTCTTTTGGTAGAACTCTCCATAGTACCTTGTAGAATGATATTTGTACAAACTAAGTGCTGCTGGTTGACCCCAAATTGTGCATTGAGGGAGGCCCATTTCCAGCTCTCTGTGGAAATGCAGGTTTGTATTCCCAAAGGACCATGAACCCAGGCACCTTCCAGCCCACCATTTACAGCACAATTGTCAAGGGCAGAGGCTTGGGAGTCAGGCATCCTGGTTCTAATCTTGGCTTTTCCAGTGCCATGCTGGGTAGCTTCAAGCAAGTGTTTTACCCTCCCTGAGGGTCAATCTTGTTGCCTATAAAAAGGGAGACTTACAGTCCTTACCTCACAGGGCAGCTATGAGAATTTACAAAAGCTAATGGCTATAAAGCACTTATTGATGCCTGTCTGCACGTGGTTCAGTGTACGTAGCTCAGCAAATGGTAGCAATTAGTATTATTTTGTTTCCAGATGGCAGGACACCTGAGTTTAAGAATATTTTAACTCATGTTTTTCAGTTCAATTAATGAACTTCTCCTGGGGTAGAAACTCGCTGTCCATAGTGCTGGGAAGGCTTCATCTGCCAGTGCATTTAATCCAGAATCTTCTTCTTTCTGAAATGCCAGTGTGGTAAATTACTCACCCATTCATAGAAAAAACCAACTGACTTTCCAGAGAGGTTACTAAGATTGCTTCTAAGTATACCCAGGTTGGTCATTTGTATTCTTTTTTTGCCTCTTCCCTTTAGAAGTTCACTTGAGAAAAAGGACAAAGCAGATCAAAGTACTCAGTGGTCGGAGATGCACAAAAAGAAGTGTCAGGCGATATCTAAATCTGTGACCTTGCGTGCAAAAGCCATGGATCCCCATAAAAGCCTGGAGGAGGTGTTCAAAGCAAAGCTGAAAGAGAATCGGTCGGTGTCCTCTGTGTGTCTAAGGAATAACTATCTTGGGAGCCATTTGTCTTGAAAATGGCAAAATGGGGTTATTACAGTAGGCTCCTGTAACCATAGAGTCAAGGATTTTGCCAGGCACAGTTAGGAATTTACCATGTCTGTGGGAGTTATTCCACTTAACTGAAATTAAAGGTATTCCGGATTGGAAAAACCTGGAATTCATTCTAAAAATCTTGTTAATTCCAGGAACAATGACCGTAAAAGAGCAAAAGAGTATAAGAAAGAATTGGAGGAAATGAAGAAGAGAATACAAATAAGGCCCTATCTCTTTGAACAAGTTACCAAGGTAAATCTAAACCGTCATTCACTTTCTTTCTGTCTTAGATGAAAGGGCTCTTAGAAATTATGAAACAGCTTAATATCTGGGTATTAAACACTTCCTTTAGGCTCAGATTCTAAATTTGGCTCATTTTATTACTACCATCTTTCCCCAAAGTAAGTCGTGCACTGGTGAACATTGGACTGATTTCATCCAAGACTGGATTCCAAAGGCATCTATAAAGAGATATTTCACTTCCTGGGGTTTTCTCTATAGTCTAGCCTTCAGCTTGCATCAGAGTCGGGGTTAGATCCCAGGCATACAATTGACAGTTTGGCTGTGTTGGAGTATCTTTAACTTGCTAATGTCATCTCTCCTCCTGTAGTGCTGGTGCCCTAGGCACCCCCAGCCTCTACAGCTGTGGCACATTTATAGATCTTCAGGGGTTGAGATGCTCACAAGCACCCCACAAGGCCTCTTCCAGATTAAGTGGCTTTCTGGCTGGAAGAGTCACTTTAAGATGTTCTCTAGACTCCTAGGGAAGTTGGACACAGTTGAGATCTCCCTAAGGAAGCTCTGGGGCTACTTGAACAGTCTTAGAAAGGCCACCATCCCAGATAGCTTTGAGCTGCATCAAGCTCTGTAGATCTCTCTCCTCTCCCGAGTTTCAAACAAAAGTTGGCATTCCCTAGTGACCTGGTTCCAAATGTTGGGCATTATCTGTCCTATAGCCAGTGCATTATTTAGGCATTTCCTGGGTCCAGTCCTTCCCAATCCCCTACATATTACACATACACTGGACTGTCTTGGATTTACTTAGCAACTTGCATTGCTAAGTAAAAATTTCTCATAATGACGTTTGCTCTTCATGTTAGCTTTTTCCTAGCAAGCTCACTTTCAGATCTCAAAAGATCTTTCACCACTCTAGGAAAAATGCAAGGTACTCTATATGACTTTGCTCTTGAACACTTAAACAAACAAAAAATAACCTTTTTCTGGTCTACATGCATACCATCCATCCTGTTAAGAATGTTACAAGTGCAGCTTATTTTCAATTTGTTATATTTCAGTGTTCCTGATGATGGTTTGGCTGCTTTTAAATGTTAAAAATGTTTTTAGTCCATCTTTTTCATCTGGGTCTCACCTGGTCTTCCAAAAATCTAAATCCTTGCCTCACAAAGGTGTGGTTCCCAAAACAACAGTTGGCATCTCCTGAGAGTATTAGAAATACAGAATTGCAGGCCCCATCTGAGAACTACCTAATAAGAATCTACATTTTAACCCGATCTTCAGGTAGGTTCCTATGTACTTTAAAGCTTGAAAATAAGGCTCTAAGTAATTTTCATACAAATCTGTGTCCAGCACTACTGGGGGCGGGGGTGGAAAAGCAGTATTATAAGCATACAGATTAAGCAAACAATTCAGAATTATCTGGTAATTCAGCTACAGCAGATTAACTTCCATTCCACAGGACCTTGCCAGGAAGGAAGCAGAACAACGGTATCGAGACACCCTGAAGCATGCTGGGCTGGATGAAGACTTTGTGAGGAACAAGGGTCAGGGCAACCGGGCTTGACAGTGTAAGGAGCAATCAGAAGTCCGTGATTGTCCCAGGTAATCAGAGATACTGCTGTCATCCTGCAGCTCTCAAGTCGCATCTCTAGTAATGCCACTGGGAGGAAGCTTTAGAACAGTCACTCATATTTTGAGATCACAATCCTGTATTTATAGAATACTAATCTAGAGATCTCCAAGTAACACATTTAAATTTGGTGAGTAGTGCAGTTGTGAATAAAATATAGCTATTGTGTATTAGGTCTAGATTCCTTCAATTTGAAAGAGATCATTTTTCCAATCCCAGTCCAATGCCATCAGTCAAAAGTACTTCTACTTCAATTCTGAAGAAAAATCATGTATATTTTTACTTCCTATAAAATGATAAACTACACTCTTCATTTATTTACTTATTGGATAAGTGAAAGTAAAAACCGTTATAGGGCCACAATAAAAGCTGTAAATATCCTGTACAATCAAAGCCTTTCTTTTCCCCTCAGTTTGGTCACCATGGCTTGTTCAAATCTAGCTTTTTTAAAATAATAAATTTATTTATTTACTTATGGCTGTGTCAGGTCTTCTTCGTTGCTGCGCGCGGGCTTTCTCTAGTTGCGCTAAGCGGGGTCTGCTCTTCATTGCTGTGCACAGGCTTCTGACTGCGGTGGCTTCTCTTGTTGTGGAGCACAGGCTCTAGGGACGTGGGCTTTAGTAGCTGTGGCTTGTGGACTGTAGAGCACAGGCTTAGTTGCTCTGTGGCATGTGGGATCTTCCCAGACCAGGGCTCGAACCTGTGTCCCCTGCATTGGCAGGCAGATTCTGCACCACTGCACCACCGGGGAAGTCCCAAATCTAGCATTTTTTTTTTTTTTTTAAAGGCAACTCATTAGCACCACCTCCTCCATTGATATCATATAAGTCAAAGGGAGAAAAGCACAGTATTTCTATTACTCTAAATTTTGTTTCAAGTCCTAGTAGCCCTTCCCCTAATTCCTATCTCAGGTTTCCCCCTAGAAATTTGCCTTTATACCCCATACAAAATAATGATAATGTTGAAACCATGCTTAAGCCTTACATGATGCTTCCTTTGATTTAAAATTTTATAATTCTTTAATTTATTCTGCAGCACTCATGAAACTACAAAACTCGGCATCAGGAATCCACGGCAGGATTTAGAAGAATCTCTAGAACAGCCTACAAGCCCCAAGAAAGAACTAGAGGAGCTGTCTTATGAATTACCAGATAATCTCAAATCATTTGTTTAATCAGTATACTTAAAACTACTGCTTTCGAATAATATCAAGCAGCTACCTTGGGGGTTGAGTCAAGGCAGGCAAAACTTGGGTTTTGAGTTATGGTTACTTTTGGAGAATGGGGGAAAGAAAAGTAGATAACAGAGAATGGTCCAAGTAAATCAAAGTGGAGAAGTTCAGGGTAGAGGGATCAGAGCTAATTAAGGGTTCTTGCTTTGTGCCTCACACTTAAGCATACAGGTACAGAAAAAAGGGCATAAGCCCAAATGCCTACAGAGGCTAGTCAGGAAACACATGGGTCAAATGGGCTGGCTTTCAGATTAGTAGGAGATAGTAGAGACTAGAGAATATCAACCCTGATGGAATACAGGCCCAGAATTGCCAGATAAACCACATTTTCAACAGAAACCAGAAATGTGCATGTCGGCAACTAATTTAAAACTTACTGGGAATTCCCTGGCCGTCCAGTGGTTAGGACTCCACGCTTTCACTGCCAAGGGCGTGGGGTTCAATCCCTGATCGGGGAACTAAGATCCCACAAGCTGCTCAGCCCGGCCAAAAAAAAAAATTTATTTGGAAATAATATGTGGGAAAAACAAAACATGTTTGTATATCAGATTAGCCCATGGGGGATGACAAATTTGCAACCCCAAATACGGGGTTTTTCAGCCTCAGCACTATTGATATTTTGGGCCAGATGAGTCTGTGCTGGGTGAGGGAGCTATACATTGTAGGATGGTTAGCAGTACCCCTGGCCTCTATTTACTAGATGCCAATAGCACCCCTCTCCTCAGTTATGACAACCAAAAATGTCTCCAGATATTACGAAAAGTCCCCGGGGTGGCAAAATGTCCTTGGTTGAAAACCACTGTTCTAGTATAAAAGTAAGACTACTGGAAGCCAAAACTGGCATTTTAAGAATACAAGTAATTGATATGAACTCAGTCTATCTAGCACAGGATAATTATGCATGTCATTAACAAATTAAGAACTATAATTATTTAAAACAGCAGTTAATTCTTTGCTGTTATCTGCTTAGAATGTGTCACTGTGTGCATGTGTGTACTATGTTAGCATGAGGTTCATTTTAATAAATTTGAAACTTCTGACAGCCATGATTTTCTAGTAGGTGATCTCTGGATACTTTTCTTCTCACCAATAATAATGAAATATTCTCTCTCAGTAACTCTAAAGACAGGATGATGGTAGCAAGAGTGCCTACTCTGACAGAAGAACCTTTCTCATGTTTTTAAAAGTATCTTTCTGGAAATATTCAAAAATATCTGCTATTATTGCCATTTTTCCAGACTCAAACATGGTCCTTTTGGTGATGACAAGAATCTCTGATAACTACCACGTGGGTTTGCTAGTTGGAGATGAATATGCTCATGTCATCTTCCCGAAGACTTCTGAGCTCGGTTTTACCTGCATGGACTCCTGAGGGTAAATCAGTGCCCTATCTTAAAGGGAAAGACTGAATTATTTTCTTAATCTCCTCTCAAAAGGAAACAAATTTTGTTTAAAACAAGGAGCCAAAGAACTGACTGGCTGTTTTGTTTATTTAAAGGAAAAACAATTGAAGCTCTGAATCAGGTGATTTTTAACTTAAAAAAACAAAAAGCAAAAAACAAACAACCTCTTAACATGCTACTGTATGTTCCATAAACAAAGAAAGCAAAGTGGCCAAGTAGAGGTGTATAGGACAAGATAGTACCTCAGCCTGGGACAAGCAGGGATTCAAGTAATTTATTTTTTTGAAGACCAGTGGCAGAGAGTCTCTTACTCAGGTTGCTAAAGGGAGAATGTCACAACAGAACTGACATCACTCCCTTCTCGAAAGCAACAAGGCATCTTGAAAGCTTAACTTCTTGGTGAAGTTTTATGGTTGGTGGCAGGATTTAGTTCACCCATGTGAAAAGACAGCTCAGTATGGGATGAAAACTCTTCAAAGGAAAACCTCCCCTCAACAGTCTTACTGAGAAACTTCAGCCAACAAATAATCAAATTCACTTTTGGGAGAAGTCTATCCCAAAACTGTGCAGTGGGAAGAGAGGTAGGTACAGTTACCCAGCCCACATTCACTGCTTTCTTTCTTGTCTGAATCAGATGGTAGTTGAAGAGAAGCTCTCCTACAGTCATCTTCTAGGCCAGGAAAGATGAACAGAGGCAAAAGTGGGGTCCTGTCCTTCTCAGATTCATTTTGGTTCTGGCAAACTGTGAGCCATAAGCATCCTGTTCCCACTACATGCACTCTGGGATCAGGTAGAGCTGATCTTCCGGGAGTCAGCACCCATGCTCATGTCCGTCCTTCAGTTAAATCTCCTTGGTTTAGTAACTGTAAGAGATTAAAAACAAATCTGGAATAGTTACCAGTGAATAACAGGAAAAATAATTCATACTAAGTGAAAGGTTTACAATTGGGGGTGGGGAATGCATTGCAGGGGTGAGTCAGGGACAGCTAGTTCCAAATCAGAAGATATGCACAGACTGATAGATCTCATTTATATACTGGCCTTGGGACAGCACTCTGACCATTTGATGATGCTGGCATTCCTACTATAGCAGTAAAATATCCTGATAATAATTATAATATCCTATAACCCAAACTATTATTTGTGTATCACATACTCACTAGTCAGTGATGGAGGAATCTATAACCACAGGGAAATCAGAACTGGTGGAACCAAAAATCTTACATCAGTCAGTTAGCCAAAGTACAGGCTGAAGGCTCAAGAAGAAGTAAAAGGAATGGAGTTCTACGTGAGAGCTACAACTCACTCATGAAAAATCCAGGGATTTCTTGGGCTTAAAATACCTTTCCTGTGATGAGGGAAGACAAGCCTGAGAGTCTCCAATAGGGTGGCAGCTACCGTGGACATTCTACTCTACATTCAAGGTTCCTGTTGAAAGGTGTTTTTGTATAATAATTGATGAAATTGGGTTCCATTTTATTATGAAAAGAAAATGAGATGGGAATAATACAGTGAAAACAATAAACACTGTTTGTTAAAATCTAATCAGATAAATTCTAGAGCTGGAGATATATTTATTTGGTGATCTTAATTTAGATGACGGTAATTTACATAGTAGAATTCAATGGTATGGAATTTAAAGAAAATTTTAAACTTAGAGAAAGAAACCACAGATTTCATTCGATACTGTGTGGTAGAGATTAGGAATGGTATATTTTTAATCTAGACCAAGATCCAGATGTTTACACTGTAACTTAGCAATGGCACTTTATGAGAAATGTTAAAGAATTTGTAATTTCTGTTTTCCTCCTTGTTTTATTTGGGAAACATTCTAAGATACAGTCAAAGCTAACTGGCAATCACTTATACTGGTTCTTGAATTCAAGAATGTGAAGTCAGTGTGGCTATGGAACCCCAATTGGGATGACCTTTAGTCCACAGAAGGTCAAAAGCCCTGGGGTCTCAGCTGGGTCTGTACAATGAGTCCTCTGTCTGATTCTCAGAAGACCTGGCCACACTGAGGAAAAATCAGAATTGCCCAATTTGAACCATCTGAGTGAGAGTTAACTTGTAGTTTTTCATATACTTTCCATGATCATTTCTGACACTTGTTCTTGATAAGTTATTTTTATTTTTAGATCATATTTACAGGAGTCCAATTAGAAGTGCATCAGCAGATTCTTACAGGTCTGATCTACAATGCATGGTGATCTTTAAAAAACAATTTGGAATGGGCATGTGTTGTTTTAAGGGTTGCTAGTGCCTTCTCCTTCTCTGGCATCTGAGAATAATCCCTAAGGAGTCAATATTCCTCACTCACTGGAGGAACAGTCAGTACCTGGACCCCGGATGAGGAAGAGGATGAAGCCTGGAGCCTTTAGGGGCTTATAGCTTGAAAAAAAATGAAGGTATTGGAGGATGTGATAAGCCCACCTTCAGAAGGAAAAGGAGGGGATGAGCAATGAAAATGCCTTGATGGGAGGAAGGTAATAATGGTATAGTAAAGGAAAGACAAAAGAAGTGAGGCTCAGACAGAAGTTATATTTGTAAATACATAAGGATCCATGAGGAAAAAGTGATAGTGAAGGATTTTCAACTATATCTAAGGGTAGCACTTTCCTCTTGCGGTGTTAATATTATTCTATTAAGCGTCTGAGGCTTCCATTCTGAAACTGGGTACACAGGGCTTAAAGGCCCTTTGTGTTCTCCTGGAGTGAAGGCCAAGTTTTCCTTTGTTTTTTTTTAGGTAGTCTGTGTTATTGTGTCTGCCTGAGGCTGTGAGTGAGCACCTCCCAGACAAGGACACTCGGAAGCCAGCTACAGGTTCAAGAGAACAAATGTGCTATTACTGGACTTTCTGCATACACAAATCTGATCATGTCATACCCCATTTAAAACCATGCAGTGGCTCCCCCCAGTGCCCCCAAGATAAAATCATGTCCTATAAGGCCCTTAAAGAGAAGAACCAGCTTGTCTTTCCTGCTCTCATTTTTCCATCCCACACCAATCTCTCCATTCCATGTCCATCACACTCAACCCTTTGTGGTTCCATAGTCAGGCGTGCTCCCTCTCCTTTGTACACATTGCTACCTTTACGCCTGTTAAATTTCTTCAAATCTCTCCCACTTCTCCATCAAGATGATTGCTATTCATCCCTCAGGTCTCAACTTAAACTCTAAAACTTACTCCCTGACTTCCCCCAAGACTAACACTACTACCCTGTATAAAAATTGCCAGTTCCCTGACCTGTTGCCCTTCCCATTCTAAACTCTCTGTACAGCACAACTCCAGGGGCACCATTTACATAGCTATGGAGTTATGAAAGGCAGAGGTCCTAACTCTGACTCTAAGCTCTTTGAGACAGAGATTATATTTTGTTTACTACTGTATAACTAGTACCCAGCAGAGTGCCTTGCACACATCAGGTACATAATATCTGTTGAATGAATTATCTTTATTCATCTGGCATTTATTTGGGGTAATCTGGAGTGCTTCAATTAAAAAAGGTATTTAGCAGTATGGGAGAGAAAAACTCCAAAGTTTCAAATATAAAAAAAGAAAACGTTGGGGGCTTCCCTGGTGGCGCAGTGGTTGAGAGTCCGCCTGCCGATACAGGGGACACGGGTTCGTGCCCTGGCCCGGGAAGATCCCACGTGCCGCGGAGCGGCTGGGCCCGTGAGCCATGGCCTCTGAGCCTGCGTGTCCGGAGCCTATGCTCAGCAATGGGAGAGGCCACAACAGTGAGAGGCCCAAGTACCGCAAAAAAAA